TGCATATTATCAGTAGTTCAGGACCTAAACAAAAAGCTGCAAACTATTTAAAATGCATATTATCGTACACATAAAAAGATGCCTCAAGATAACTATATACATCAGAAAAGAACACCGCCGACTCAATGGTGCTATTACAAGGACAAATTTGTAATCAGAACCAACCTTCTAGATTCCACAAGAAGAGCCCGTTGTTCTGCAGTCTTATCCGAAGTTATATCTAGCTCGCTGGCAGTATAGCTGTATTTAGAAGAACAAATCCACATCATTAGGACATGGGAAACCCATAGAGTTAAATGCAAAAAACACTTAACAGCTGCCAGATAATATACATTAGGAGTTGTAAGAAATATTTTGTGAATGGTTTATCACAATTATCATATTGTTCCTTATAAACATGCTACGGCAACTCCTGAACTAGTAAATTTTGAAAATGGCCTAACCTGGAAGGAAGAACAGCCTGCGGAACAAAGGGGGTATATGCGGTTTCCCTTTCAGCAGCAAGCCGCTGAGCCTTCTGAAACTCTTTCAAAACTGCTTGGAAGTCTTTTGCAAGTTTAGCATCTGTGATCTTCTTGCTTGGCTGCAATTAACAAAGTATCATTTAAGGCCAGAATAGAAACACTTCAAATCATATCAATGCTTCAGACATGCGCAAGGCAGGCATGATTCCTGCAGAGGCGCACGCACGAGAGAGGGAGAGAGAAAGAGAGAAGGGTTTTAATACTCAATCAACCAGTGAGTTTCCATGAGCATACTTACACTAACTTGAGCATGATGATCTATTTCACTAGCTTGTTTAAGTTTTGCTGAAGTATCCTTCACTAATTGCCCAATATGAAGCCTTGTTTTGTGCCTGTATATTAAAAACATTCAGCATGCAAGCCCTCAAAATAGTGAATAATAAACAATAATAAAAATTATATGACGCTCTTTGGGGCTAACAAGTTGCGCACAAAAGAAAAGAAAAAGGCCTTGACCCAAAACACAGACTAAAAATGTGCTGAACTAAAAGAAAAGGAGAGAGAGAGAGAGAGAGAGAAAGAAAGAGAGAAAACATGCTAACTGATATCCACGGTTACTTCACGAGAATACTAATATCGAAAGAAAATGGGGAAAAAGAAAAAGAAAAAGAAGCACACGATCAACTTGAAGGAGAACACGACCAACAAATTGCCATCCCAAAAGCAGAAATTCTATTTTGTGTCCCAATTACCAATGAATTCTACCATTCGACCTTACCTAATGGAATACTCCTATATCACCTAATAATAACTTAAGCCCACAGGCTTCTTTTCAGTACCCAATTTCAAAGCAAACTCTCTCGT